GTTTTAGGTACATCGTCCATAGATGGATAATCTACCCTTTATTTACACTGTTACAGGTACAGTCCATAGAGGGATAATCTACCCTTTATTTACACTGTTCCAGGTACATCGTCTGTAGAGGAATGGTCTACCCTTTATTTACACTGTTACATGTACATCGTCTGTAGAAGGACAACCTAACCTTTATTTACTCTGTTACAGGTACATCTTCCATAGAGGGATAATCTACCCTTTATTTACACTGTTCCAGGTACATCGTCCATAGAGGGATAACTTCCCCTCTATTTCCACTGTTTCAGGTACATCGTCTGTAGAGAGATAACCTACCCTTTATTTACACTGTTACAGGTACATCGTCTGTAGAGGAATGGTCAACCCTTTATTTACACTGTTACATGTACATCGTCGGTAGAGGGATAACCTACCCTTTATTTACACTGTTACAGGTATATCGTCTGCAGAGGGATAATCTACCCTTTATTTACACGGTTACAGGTACATCGTCTGTAGAGGAATGGTGTACCCTTTATTTACACTGTTACATGTACAACGTCTGTAGAGAGATAACCTACCCTTTATTTACACTGTTCTAGGTACATCGTCCATAGATGGATAATCTACCTTTTATTTACACTGTTACAGGTACATCGTCTGTAGAGGGATAATCTACCCTTTATTTACACTGTTCCAGGTACATCGTCTGTAGAGGAATGGTCTACCCTTTATTTACACTGTTACATGTACATCGTATGTAGAGGGATAACCTACCCTTTATTTACACTGTTCCAGGTATATCGTCTGCAGAGGGATAATCTACCCTTTATTTACACTGTTCTAGGTACATCGTCCATAGAGGGATAATCTACCCTTTATTTACACTGTTACAGGTACATCGTCTGCAGAGGGATAACCTACCCTTTATTTACACTGTTCCAGGTACATCGTCCATAGAGGGATAACTTCTACCCTCTATTTACACTGTTACAGGTACATCGTCTGTAGAGGAATGGTCTACCCTTTATTTACACTGTTACATGTACATCGTCTGTAGAGGGATAACCTACCCTTTATTTACACTGTTCCAGGTATAACGTCTGCAGAGGGATAATCTACCCTTTATTTACACTGTTCTAGGTACATCGTCCATAGAGGGATAATCTACCCTTTATTTACACTGTTCCAGAAACATCGTCTGTAGATGAATGGTCTACCCTTTATTTAAACTGTTACAGGGTCTGCAGAGAGATAACCTACCCTTTATTTACACTGTTCCAGGTACATCGTCCATAGAGGGATAACTTCCCCTTTATTTGCACTGTTACAGGTACATCGTCTGTAGAGGGATAATCTACCCTTTATTTACACTGTTACAGGTACATCGTCTGTAGAGGAATGGTGTACCCTTTATTTACACTGTTACATGTACATCGTCTGTAGAGAGATAACCTAACCTTTATTTACACTGTTCCAGGTACATCGTCTGCAGAGGGATAATCTACCCTTTATTTACACTGTTACAGGTACATCGTCTGTAGAATGATGGTCTACCCTTTATTTACACTGTTCTAGGTACATCGTCTGTAGAGGGATAACCTACCCTTTATTTACACTGTTCCATGTACATCGTCCATAGATGGATAATCTACCCTTTATTTACACTGTTCTAGGTACATCGTTTGTAGAGGTATAACCTACCCTTTATTTACACTGTTACAGGTACATCGTCTATAGAAGGACAACCTAACCTTTATTTACACTGTTACAGGTACATCTTCCATAGAGGGATAATCTACCCTTTATTTACACTGTTACAGGTACATCGTCTGCAGAGAGATAACCTACCCTTTATTTACACTGTTCTAGGTACATCGTCGGTAGAGGGATAACCTACCCTTTATTTACACTGTTACAGGTATATTACAGAGGGATAATCTACCCTTTATTTACACTGTTACAGGTACATCGTCTGTAGAGGAATGGTGTACCCGTTATTTACACTGTTACATGTACATCGTCTGTAGAGAGATAACCTACCCTTTATTTACACTGTTACAGGTACATCGTCCATAGAGGGATAATCTACCCTTTATTTACACTGTTACAGGTACATCGTCCATAGAGGGATAGAGGAATGGTCTACCCTTTATTTACACTGTTACATGTACATCGTCTGTAGAGGTATAACCTACCCTTTATTTACACTGTTACAGGTACATTGTCATAGAGGGATAACTCTGTTACCCTTCCATAGAGGGATAATCTATTTACACTGTTACAGGTACATCGTCCATAGAGGGATAACTTCCCCTCTATTTACACTGTTACAGGTACATCGTCTGTAGAGAGATAACCTACCCTTTATTTACACTGTTACAGGTCAACCCTTTATTTACATACATGTACATCTCGGTAGAGGGATAACCTACCCTTTATTTACACTGTTACAGGTATATCGTCTGCAGAGGGATAATCTACCCTTTATTTACACGGTTACAGGTACATCGTCTGTAGAGGAATGGTGTACCCTTTATTTACACTGTTACATGTACAACGTCTGTAGAGAGATAACCTACCCTTTATTTACACTGTTCTAGGTACATCGTCCATAGATGGATAATCTACCTTTTATTTACACTGTTACAGGTACATCGTCTGTAGAGGGATAATCTACCCTTTATTTACACTGTTCCAGGTACATCGTCTGTAGAGGAATGGTCTACCCTTTATTTACACTGTTACATGTACATCGTATGTAGAGGGATAACCTACCCTTTATTTACACTGTTCCAGGTATATCGTCTGCAGAGGGATAATCTACCCTTTATTTACACTGTTCTAGGTACATCGTCCATAGAGGGATAATCTACCCTTTATTTACACTGTTACAGGTACATCGTCTGTAGAGGAATGGTCTACCCTTTATTTACACTGTTACAGGTACATCGTCTGCAGAGGGATAATCTACCCTTTATTTACACGGTTGCAGGTATATCGTCTGTAGAGGAATGGTGTACCCTTTATTTTCACTGTTACATGTGCATCGTATGTAGTGGGATAACATACCCTTTATTTACACTGTTCCAGGTATATCGTCTGTAGAGTGAAAATCTAACCATTATTACACTGTTACAGGTACATCGTCTGTAGAGGGATAATCTATCCTTTATTATACTGTTTCAGGTACATCGTCTGTAGTGGGATAACCTACCCTTTTATTTACACTGTTACAGGTACATCGTCTGTAGAGGGATAACATACCCTTTATTTACACTGTTCCAAGTATATCGTCTGCAGAGGGATAATCTACCCTTTATTTACACTGTTCTAGGTACATCGTCCATAGAGGGATAATCTACCCTTTATTTACACTGTTACAGGTACATCGTCTGTAGAGAGATAACCTACCCTTTATTTACACTGTTACAGGTACATCGTCTGCAGAGGGATAATCTACCCTTTATTTACACGGTTACAGGTATATCGTCTGTAGAGGAATGGTGTACCCTTTATTTACACTGTTACATGTACATCGTCTGTAGAGAGATAACCTACCCTTTATTTACACTGTTCTAGGTACATCGTCCATAGAGGGATAATCTTCCCTTTATTTACACTGTTACAGGTACATCGTCTGTAGAGGGATAATATACCCTTTATTTACACTGTTTCAGGTACATCGTCTGTAGAGGAATGGTCTACCCTTTATTTACACTGTTACATGTACATCGTCTGTAGAGGGATAACATACCCTTTATTTACACTGTTCCAGGTATATTGTCTGCAGAGGGATAATCTACCCTTTATTTACACTGTTACAGGTACATCGTCTGTAGAGGGATAACCTACCTTTTATTTACACTGTTCCATGTACATCGTCCATAGAGGGATAATCTACCCTTTATTTACACTGTTCTAGGTACATCGTCTATAGAGGGATAATCTACCCTTTATTTACACTGTTCCAGGTACATCGTCTGTAGAGGAATGGTCTACCCTTTATTTTCACTGTTACATGTGCATCGTATGTAGTGGGATAACATACCCTTTATTTACACTGTTCCAGGTATATCGTCTGTAGAGTGAAAATCTAACCTTCATTACACTGTTTCAGGCACATCGTCTGTAGAGGTATAATCTATCCTTTATTATACTGTTTCAGGTACATCGTCTGTAGTGGGATAACCTACCCTTTTATTTACACTGTTACAGGTATATCGTCTGTAGAATGATGATCTACCCTTTATTTACACTGTAACAGGTACATCGTCTGTAGAGGTATAACCTACCTTTTATTTACACTGTTCCAGGTACATCGTCCATAGAGGGATAACTTTCCTTGATTTACACTGTTACAGGTACATCGTCTGTAGAGGGATAACTTACCTTGTATTTACACTGTTCCAGGTACATTCGAAGTCGAAGGGTGATCTGCGATATCAAAGAGGAACATTTGTCGTAATAGAACCAATTCAATAGGAACAAGTGTACTTCTGTGGAATATAGGACTCCTCCCGTTAGGAATACTTGTACTTCTGTGGAATATAGGACGCCTCCCGTTAGGAATACTTGTACTTCTGTGGAATATAGAACGCCTTCCGGTAGGAACACGTGTACTTCTGTGGAATATAGAACGCCTTCCGGTAGGAAGACGTGGACGTCTGTGGAATATAGAACGCTTTCCGGTAGGAAGACGTGGACTTCTGTGGAATATAGAAAGCCTTCCGTTAGGAAGACGTGGACTTCTGTCTCGCTCCATCAACTGATAACTAATTTCTTCATTAATACTGCTGTCAGATTTTATATGTATTGATGAATTGACAAGGTCGTTCAAATTTCAAGGCTTGACAGATAAAAATACCGGTAGAAATAACATCGTCCGGGATAATCAGATGTTGTGTTGACGACCATCAACGTCTACGACTGGAGTCTTTCGTTAGAAATTTACCACGGCATATCATAGCGATATTATACCAGTACATTCTTTCCCTTTAAAGGTCATTATGAGGGTGTGGAGATTTAGACGTTGCAAAGCTGTTAAAGGTTTCTTATCATTATCAGCAGTTCTTGTCATACTTTTATACATTGTGGTGTTACGGCATCACAAATGCATCAATTCCTTAAAAGTGTATCCAATGCAGAAAGCACTCCCCGACCGTATGATTGGTTATCCTCTCAACATTGACTTCACAAAGTTAGTCGAAGACGTCAACGAAAAAGGATATAAAATGTTTAAACCTATCAATATATATCCTTATTCGTATTTGAAACCAATACCAAATATTTGTGGATCATCAAATGAAATATTTCTTTTGTTTATGATCAAATCTGCACCGAGAAATTTTGATCAAAGAAAAGCTATACGTGAAACATGGACAAATACGATGTATGTTAGGAAACATATTATCCGGCATGTTTTCTTGCTTGCAAAAACGTCTAATTATGACGTCAACAATCGTCTGTCAATTGAAAAAGAGATGCATCAGGATATCTTAGAGATGACTTACGTTGATAACTACTACAACAATACCTATAAAACCATTGGAGGTATCAATTGGTGTGTTAAATACTGCTCTAAAGCTAAATTTGTTATGTTGGTGGACGATGATTTCTACATAGCTACGGATTACCTGTTAGCTTATCTGCATGGACTACCACAAAATATGTACAGTTCCCTATATGCTGGCCACGTATGGAACACCTACCCACAGAGATGCCTACACCAGAAATGGTATATGTCTTTTGAAGATTACCCATTTGACAGGTATCCACCCTTCCTTAGCGCCGGAGCTATCATTATGTCGATGGACGTTGTTAAAAGACTCCAAATCGGTATTCAGTATACTAAAATGTTTAAGTTTGATGACGTTTTCATAGCTATCGTTGCTTACAAACTCAACATTAAACCCGTTCATCATCCAGGTGTGAGAGTGGGTGAGGCTGTCCTATACCACGAGGACTTCACTACTGTGTTAGCCTCCCACGGGTACAGAAATGCAAATGATCTAAGGGCAGCATGGCAAAGTCACTTACTCACCATTTCAACAAACAAGTAATATCTTGTCATTATATGATATCGAATAGTTTTTTTTCAATTTTGTGTGGTTAAAGTATGGTTTTTGCGTGTTTATATTGGCACCAAAATCAAAACGGGAAATTTTGAACCTTGAATGATATTTACCTGCTTGTATGGTGTTTAATTGATCTCAACTGAAATCTGTGTTGGTACTTTTGTATTTGTATATAATGCCGAAGATTTTACTGTTATACACGTATGTGGCAGTGATACATTGTTTGCAGAACATTACCTTGAAATTTTCCATTGTTGGTGTCCTTCTTGACATCCGTCCTCATATGACCCTAATTGTTGATATCCCTCTGGAAATTTTAACGGTTTCTATGTCATGTAATTTAAATATGTGTTGTTTTACAAGATGATGTCAGCATTGTTTAAGTGGAATAACGCTTTATCATTTCGACTCTCTGTTAGAATTTAATTCCATTGATTTATCTCGTATCTAATTTTGAAACTGTCGAGGAATATTCGCGATATTCTCGTGTGTGCCTTTTGTATTATTATTTAAGGTTACATAAAAGTAGATACTGCTGGTGGACAAAAGTTCCAAACGTTTAAATTCGAAGATTGGCACGAGTTCAGAATGTACGCATCTACTTGATGTTCTTTTTAAATTCTTTGATATTTGAAATTATGAGAAGTGTTTCATTAGGGAACAGTCCCATCGTGATTTCCAATGGCACCTATATATCTAGATTTATTTCGCCCAATTTTGATTTTTCTCCGTCATCAAACAGGGCTCAACGTGTTCGTGTACGTTTTTCATGGACATTAAAAGTGGTCCACACTCACCTTACAAACTATAGGCGAACATTTCCCACATACACAGGAATCTGTATTAGACGGCCCCGAGTCCATCTTGACCAGGTGAAAACTCTCTTAAAAGTACAGCGGTCTCAACCTTTATTTTAAACAATGACAATGTGTAACGAAAAACAAAACGAATAGTGTGCCAAAATATTAATTTGATTCATTTCGTCGTGGCATGGACAGTTTCTAATAAAACCAATAAAACCTAGCCCAAATGCATTGTAACTATAAACACATTCCATGTCCTGTTCTCACTGATACAGCTGAATGCATTGTGACTATAAACACATTCCATGTCCTGTTCTCACTGATACAGCTGAATGCATTGTGACTATAAACACATTCCATGTCCTTTTCTCACTGATACAGCTGAATGCATTGTGACTATAAACACATTCCATGTCCTGTTCTCACTGATACAGCTGAATGCATTGTGACTATAAACACATTCCATGCCCTGCTCTCACTGATACAGCTGAATGCATTGTAACTATAAACACATTCCATGTCCTGCTCTCACTGATACAGCTGAATGCATTGTGACTATAAACACATTCCATGTCCTGTTCTCACTGATACAGCTGAATGCATTGTAACTATAAACACATTCCATGTCCTGTTCTCAAGGATGAAGAATTCAAGGTTGGAGATCCAGTATACCTTCGAAACCACAAGAAACAGTCAAAGTTAGACAGCAAATGGAAACCTTATTATAGGATTTTGGAACAAACGGGTCCAGTCAGCTTTAAAATAAAATGTCAACTCACTGGAGAAACGACAAAAACCCATGCGAGACATTTACGTCCAGCCAATATAGAGGAATGGACCAAAGACAACCGTCGGACGGAGAACTGCATACGTTGTTCCTCCAGAAAGCGATGACACTTCAGATGAGGAGGACCTACCACCCCTACAAGCAGTGATAGACAGAGCGAGAAAGGAAAGAGATAATTCTGACGAAGAGGACACAATTCCAATTGCAGAATTGAGACAAAGGTTAAGACTACGCAAGCTTCATCAAAGGGATCAGGAGAAAAGCAGTACATCCAACAACTTGTCAGAGAGCAACTACGACCTAGAGATGGAAACCGATGTAACGGGAAATGACACAGAGCAAAATGAAAGTGACACTGAGAGTGAACAAGGTCATCTCTACAATACATACATGTCAGATGATTTCGATAATTTCGCAGTAAATACTGTTGGGTATAAAACACGGCCGGACAAACGAATATCAAAAAGATCAAAATCAGCCAAACCTCGTAAAACGGATGTCTTGTCACTAAGAAGGAAAATGGGCTTACTTAAATCAGAACCTAAAAACATTTTACAACTGACACAAAAAAACATTAGACTTCATTCAATCACTTATTTGAACACTATTATTTTGAAATCGTATTCCTTGTACAGTGTACATTCATAAGGAAATAAGAAAGTAACCAGTAGATTGTAGAAAATATATATTCATAAAGCTACTGCCTATATTTACACGTTTTTACATTTATTTACAGAAATGTCAACTTACATTCTCTTACTCCTTTTGGTACTTTCCGTGAATTCTGTTAGTTCATCATCTCTAATCCGAAAAAATGTTATTTTTGATAAAGTTAATGAAATTTCGACGACAAAGTCGCAATGGTTAGTCACATTTGTTTTAGATCTGAAACCCTATAATCATCTTATGGAAGACTTAAATATAACATTAGGCAGTATTTATAAGGAGATAAGTAATCACACTAACAACACCCGTAACTCTGAAATAATTCCTATGATAGCTCAGATAAGGGACGAATATCATAAGTGTATAAGGGATAATGACCATCTCCAACAGGAAATAGCAAACTTGTTAGCTTTATATCAACCAAACCCTGTTCGTAATAAACGTGCATTAATTCCGATTATAGGTAAAGCACTCTCATTTTTATTTGGTACCCCAAGTGATGATGACCTTTCCGCGATAAAAAATAATATCCATCATATTCAAAATAATCAAATTCGCTTAAAACATGTAGTAGAGAACAGTTTGACCATTCTCCGTACACATCAAGAAGAAATATCTAAAAACAGGAGAGCAACTAATGATCTAATTACATCCTTAAAACAAATACAAATATTTAATAGCCAAGTACAGTTATCAATACGCAAACTGCATACTTATAATAATGTATATTCTATCTTTGATAGAGCAATTGCAAGAGCCCAAGATCTTATTAACTTAGGGAGATATTATGTTCACCGATTACAATTACAACTGAATATGCTTTCATTAGGACATCTTTCACCTTCTGTGATCTCTCCTGGGGATCTACGAATACTTCTAATTGACCTTCAGAAGAAGCTAGGTACACGTGCACAAATTCCATTCCATCCAAACTTTGACCTATGGGCATTTTATAAAACAATCACTTGCACAACACTTATAGAACAAGATCATGTTTTGATAGTTATTTCCATACCGCTACTTGATGTGGCTGGGCGGTTTAACGTCTTTCAGATATATAACTTGCCGGTACCACCAGTAGGATCAAATCACTCTGAACTTTTAGCCTCATATCATTTAGAAACCAGTGCAATTGCGGTAAATCAAGCTGAAACCAAATTTGCAGTTTTAAATCAAAATGAAATAAATAGGTGTAGTGATCCACTTAAAACTTTTTGTCAAATAAGTAGTCCAATTTATAATATTTTAGCCAGTGACATGTGTGTTATACATTTATATAAAGGGAATAATTCAACAATTCGTAAGTAACGGTAGTAACACAGGGTAGTCTTCATCCCAGAGCTCTTTACCTTAGAAATGGTCAATGGATTTTATTCTCGCTTGCTGCCTTGACTTTTGCTGTCAACTGTGATAACAAAAAGAACAGTCCACACTTCAGTTCACGTAATCCAATAGATGTCATTACGTTAGAACTGGGTTGTTCAGCCACCTCAGGACATATAACATTACCATCCTTCTATCATTTTGAGAGTCAACGTAATATGTCGAACACGCTAGATTTGTTACTTCAAAATTATTATACAGGGGAAATGGATCTTTGGCAAGTTGATGATAAATTACCCGAGTTGAAATCATTGGTCATCCCTGATAAATTAAAACATATTCCTAAATTACCCATTGATACTTTGATTACTGAATTAAAACAAATTACCTATCCCGTACAAGATTTTGGTTTTACTATTCCTATTTGGGGGTATGTCTTACTTACAGTTGCTATTCTAGTTGCAATTATATTGGCATATAAATTTCGGCCTAAGTATCTTAAAAATTTCAAAATTTGTATATGTTTTAAACGGTCTAATAACACGGAAAGTAACAAATTGAGTACTTCGCCTCCGAGACAGCAATTTTATGAACCTGGTGGACAAAGAGAGATTCAGATGGCAAGGAATGAAAAAAACGAGACAACATTGGTGACTGAAGGAATAACTAACATTTGGTGACCAACAAACTGTTCACTGGTGTCTGGGCGAAAGTCGATCGTTACGACGCTCGGAATCTACAGTGACCTAAAGGAAAAAGTTATGTGAACTATTACGCTCAGGATCGACAGTGACTTTAATATTGACAGACGATAAGTGAACAATTACGCGTATCAAATTTGTATTATTTTCATTTTTATATAATGTAACTATATTATGTCAACCCATAGCATTATCTTTTGTATATTTTGTCGTGAAATATTTACCATTTACCATCACTACTAAAAGTTAAACCTAAATGTTTATGAATCTTGACAGAGCTGACTGAATCACCTGCAAACAGTATATCAGGATTAATTTGTTCCCTTTTTCTTGAGAAAAGTAAAGATTCTGTTTTCTGAGGATTAAATTTGATATCCCATCTGTTAGCCCATATATTTAGATTGCTTAAGTCATAGGCTAATTTCTGTGCAATTTCACCAGAATTATTTTCAATCACTTCAAAAATTGATGTATCATCAGCAAACAGCTTAAACTTGCTTGTGATGCAGTCAGTTATGTCATTAATATAAACCGAAAATAAGAATGGACCGAGAACTGAGCCTTGAGGGACACCAGCTTTAACATGTTTAAATGTTGAATGAAAACCCTCAGTTAGTACCCTTTGCTTCCTATCAGACAAATAGTTTTTAAACCAATTCAAAACATTACCACTTATACCATATGATTCTAATTTAAAAATTAGGCCTTCATGCCAAACTCTATCCAACGCTTTGCTAACATTACAAAATACAAATCTAATTTCATTATTTTTATCCAAATTACTTATGATAGTTTCATATATTTCCAATAATTGATTTACAGTAGAGTCTTTTGGTAAAAAGCCTGATTGATGCTTAGTAATTACTTCACAATCTTTTAGGTAATTAAACATATATTTAAAAACTACTTTTTCAATAATTTTACTAAAACAAGATGTGATAGATATGGGCCTATAATTAGATACATCATTTTCAGAGCCTTTCCCTTTATAAATAGCATTAACATCAGCTGATTTTCAAGATGCCGGTATAGTACCTGTTTCAAAAGTTTTATTACATAAAAGGGTAAGAGGGCGTACTAATGAGGGGGTTAATCTTTTTATTATTTTAGGTATCATATTGTCAGGACCAGGAGGTTTTCTGTCATTAAGTAAGAGAAGTTGATCTTTGATGTCCTGCTCAGAAATGGTAATATTTTCTAGTTTTAAAGGGAAGCTACTATCAGGTTGAGGTATAGGATCCAGATTTTCAGATGTTGTTGAAATCGAAATGAAATAATTATTTAGACACTCAGCCTTATCAAATGGATGATGGACATACTGATCATTTACATATAGAGGTGGTAAAGAGGTAGAAACATTATTAGAGTTCATTATTGACTTAGCAATTTTCCATCACTTGTTAGCAGGAATAGAATTGTCTTGGAGAGATTCATCTAATTTGATAAAATATGTTTTTTTAGCTTCCCTAACAAGATCCACTACCTCATTTCTAATTTGTCTAAAGTTAGCCCATTCTGTAGCAAAATTACTATATTTAGCTTTTGCATGTATTCTATTTCTCTGTCTAATTTTGAGTTTGATATTATTTCTCATCCAGGGTTTATCATAAGGTCGGACCGTCATAAGTTTACATGGTACACATAATTTTGTTTGTTTGATAATGGTTTCTGTTAAAATACTATTAAATTCCTCACAATTATGATTTTCTATCAGTAATTCCCAATCAACACTATCAATCACTCTATTCATCTTATCAAAATCTGCTCTATCATAAACTAGTATTTTCTTTATATATGATTTCTTTTTTAATACAGAATTACAACAAGAGAAGTTAACAATGCAATGGTCACTGTATATTGGAGTATTCACCGAAGTATTTCTAATTAGACTTATGTTGTTAGTGAACAATATATCAATAGCAGTAGCAGTTGTCTCAGTAATCCGTGTTGGTTCATTAATTAAACTTACAAAATTATACTTTACTAAGAGTCTACTTAAGTGGTGATTCTCAGGTATATTTAGCATATTTACATTAATATCACCTGTAATTATAATATCAAGACCTGTATTACAAGTATATTCTAGAATGTGGTCTAACTTATCCCAATAATCTACAGTACATTCTGGCCTATAGATACAACCTAACAATACTCTTTTGTTATTAGAAGAAATTTCAATCCAAATCATTTCTACATCATTGCTTTCAAGATCTAACCTTCTCTTACTATGTATAGTACTTTCCATACTTAATATATATATATATATATATATATATTTTTTGTGTGTGTGATAACTATGACGCCGCCATTCGTTTACTTAATATCAATACTTTTTGAGCGTAAAGACCTGATGAAGATGTCCGTTTTCAAGATGTCGTCAATTGCCAAACTCACAACACATGGTTCCAAGAGAGGCGGATTGATATAAATTAAGGGGAAACTTTACCGTTGTCATGGTGATCCTTTTTGCGCAGCAGTTTTTATGAAGCTGGACTTGTTTGATACTCGTCAGCTTGCCTGTTAGTTCCGTTGTTTTATACCTTGTTCTCATTTGAGAATGCAACATTACTTAGTTGGATTGACCAAGATTTATAGGGTAAGCAGAAGACGCTTACTCTTCCGGAACACGTGAACTTTCTTTTGTTCTAGTTTTTGCCCTAGTTTTATTGAATTTGAGTAATTGTTGTTTGTTGTTTACTAAACAACTTTCTGGTTTACATCGGAATTCCATGGGTTATGCCCCCTATATAATTTACATTTTTTAACAGCTGATCATAATCAATGACTGTCGTCTTGTGTCAGCCATAGCGACCATCTGGTTGTGCACTTACAAATCCTTCAGGACACACATGTGTTGTCATTAGATGGTTTCAAAGACTTATGATTCCTCTGTTTTGTTTACTGGAGACTTCTTAGTCGTGCAATTTTTTTCAGCTCTGTGTCACGTGAGATTACTCCTGTTTAGAGAACTTTTATTTCCATATTTTTTCATCTTTTCTGAAGGTACCTTCCATACTACCATGTTTTTTTTATTGAAAAAGCTAAACGCTGTACATATAAATCCCGAAATACAAGCAAAATATACTGACTTGTAATCTGGC